TGGTGGAGGATAAAGAATGCTTAGATATTTAGATTTTCTAATTCTAAACCATGGAACAGCTTCATATCTACTGTAGAAAGTTTACCCTCACAAAACAAGTATACAACAACATCAGATCGTGCTGTCATCAACAGGAAACTATAAACCAATCAAAATTGTTTGCCCCTGAAAACAAAGTCTCTTGTATTGCCTGCCGGATTTCTCTTCTTTTTGTAGTTTGTTTGTTTGTTTTTGTTTGTTTCTTGCTTGTTTTTTGTCGTTTTTTGTCGTTCGGCCATGTTTTATAATGTCAGATTTCCTTGTTGATATTTAAATCTTCACTTACACAATATAGTGGGTGTAAGGTGATTTGATAAGGAATACTAAATTTACAGGTTTTATTAAACCTGGTAGGTATTAAAAGAAAAATGCAGCATATAACACTTTTTCTCTCTCATTTTATCTTGATTCTACTGTTATTCAATATTTGTGTTGTAATTACTATTAAAAAGGGGGAAGATTTGTATGTATTGTCTTTAAGAAACCAAGAAGACATGCAACAGAGTGAGGAAGGAGCAAGCTTAAAATCCTCAATTCGTTACTGACAAGGAGAAAAGATTCTGGGCCAATCGTGACCGCTTCTCAACCTTTGTGTAGCTCTGCCTTGCGGCTCCCTGACTCTTCGCTGACGTTTTACAGATCACCTCGGAGAAGTCAAAATGGCAATCAAATTACGAGGAAGAGAGAATATGAATTAAGAGAGAGATCTCTGGAGGGCTATTAAGGTCAGCTTAAAGGGAAGAAGGACTGCATCAAATTGAAGATGATCGATACTTACAGATTGGATGGTGAACGAATGACCTCTCTGGTTTGGCTCCATTTTGTGTGTGTGAAGTGTCAACGTAACAGGGTTTCTTTTTTCTGATGTTGGTCACATCAAAGCACTTTTTAAGAGCCATGTTGAACAATGGCAAGCTACATTGTTTATATATACCACAAGTACCAGTGAAAGATAGTCGTATTTCTAGCATGTGCACAATTTGACCTCAAAATGCTTTGTAGAGAGAAAATTTCATAATTCAAAAATGGATTAGCTTTCTAGTATTTTTATGCCTCCGTTACGAAGTAGCCGGAGGCATTATGTTTTCGGGTTGTCCGTCCGTCCGTACGTCCGTACGTACGTACGTACGTACGTCTGTACGTACGTACGTCCCGTTCTCGTGATCGCGTTATCTGAAGAACTGGTTGATGGATTCCTGCCAAACTTTGGTCATGTATGTATCTTGTAGAGCCGATGAACTGATTAGATTTTGGGGTTACGAGGTCAAAGGTCAAAGGTCACAGGGCTCATTATGTATGCAAAACAAGCTCGTGATCGCGTTATCTGAAGAACTGGTTGATGGATTCCTGCCAAACTTTGGTCATGTATGTATCTTGTAGAGCCGATGAACTGATTAGATTTTGGGGTCACGAGGTTAAAGGTCAAAGGTCACAGGGCTCATTATGTATGCAAAACGAGCTCGTGATCGCATTATATGAAGAACCGATTGATGGATTGCTGCCAAACTTAGGTCATGTATGTTACTTGCAAAGCCAAAAAACTGATTAGATTTTGAGGTCACGAGGTCAAAGGTCAAAGGCCACAGGGCTCATTATGTATGCAAAACGAGCTTGTGATCGCGTTATCTGAAGAACCGATTGATGGATTGCTGCCAAACTTAGGTCATGTATGTTACTTGCAGAGCCGATGAACTGATTAGATGTAGGGGTCACAAGGTCAAAGTTCAAAGATCACAGGGCACATTATGTATGCAAAAACAGCTCGTGATCGCGTTATCTCAAGAACCGATTGATGGATTCCTGCCAACTTAGGTCATGTATGTTTCTTGCAGAGCCAATGAACTGAGTAGATTCTTGGTTCATAAGGTCAAAGGTCATGGGCTCATTATGTATGCAAAAATAGCTTGTAATCACAATATTCTGAAAACCTGTTAATGGATTACAATTGAACTTGAATTTGAAAAATTTCTTCTGTTTTGGTTTGTAAAATTGCTCTATGACGGAGGCATCATTTTCGACTGCGCGCAGTCGAAGTTCCATCTAGTTTCTAAATCTGTCATGTACAGAATTGTGTCATTTTGAATAAGAACTATTTCATTTGGAATAGTTTTTGCTTCTTATAAAATATTTTAGTCTTTACATTATATTGTAGAATAGGGTAGGAGAAAAAAGGTGGGGGGTGAGACAAGGGCAGGTATACCAAGATGTGATGGGTTATAGTGAAGGAGAGGTAGTGTTGGATAAATGAAGAGAATGGGGTAGAGAGACGGGAGTGAGTAAGGGCGGGGTTGGTAGATGAAGAGATACGGAACAGGGAAATGACTGTGAGGGAGGGGTGGGGCAAAGGAAGACAATCGGAAAAGATCAACAAGAGGAACGCATTACTCGCGCAAGAACACAAATTTAATCACTTTCTCTCGGTACCTCCACGTACACATGTAAGAAATACCTCCAGCTCAGATCCCCTGGAAGTCAAGCCAGCTCAGGGGAGGCCAGAGGAGGAGGATGCTCTGTGCCCCGTTGCTTAGCAACACCCATTCTGAATCAACACCACAGTGGAACTGAAATGTCGGGTAAACATGGATGATTTTGTCAGCTTGTATTTGTTGTAAGTGTACTATTGTCAAGGATCAGATATCATGTATACTATCTTCAGACGTATTTACTGAAGACTTTTAATGATTACATTTGTACAATTGAATATTCTCAGAAATATCAAAGCTATGCTTTCATGAGCAAAATTAATTGAAAGACTTAAAGGAATTGGGGAGTAATGTTTTAGATTACTTGAAAGAAAAATCATCTATTATAGAAAAGGCAATATGTCAACAGGTTATATTTCAGCAAACAATATTTCACTCAGTATCTGCTTCCTCAGCTAACTTACCATGCATAGTAGTATCATGGACGGGTTTAGCGTCATAGAACCAAAAATAGCTCATTACGATAATAGCCCTTTTTATGTGCTAAATGAAAGCACTTTTTATGTCCTGGTTAATAGAATTTTGTAAGTGCCAGATAATAGTTCCTTTAAACAACTAGCTAAATGTCAAAGAATTATTCCACTTCACCCCCTTATCGGCCACCATTTGGAGGGGAGGGAGTAAGTTGGAAATGTTCTCCATGTCCGGCCCCGGAGGTGATTTAATTCCAGATGAGCTACCTTATAAAAACATCCCATGGACCTGCTTTTTTTCTTCGTCTCCTCTCTTTTTTTTCTTCTCCCATCTCCTCCAAGATAGGGATGATTTGTAATGCCCTAATGCTTGCGCCCCCCCCCCCCGACCTGCGCAAGAAGCGAGATGAACATCAACAAGTTAGGATCGGCTATTGATTGTGGGCCGCTTTTAGGGCTAGGTGGTGGAAAAAGAAACATGGGTTATTTTTAGCTCTAGATACATCTTCATAGCATTATAGTTGGAGGGGTTGTATGATTGTACCTACATGTAGAAAGGGGAAGAAAGGTCTCGCACTTTTGTGTATAGCTCGCACATTTTGAAAAATCTAAAAGCTTCTGTTATATTTTGATTCGCTTCTGGAGAATCTAGATCAAATGTTTTATGGCCAAACTAGATATTGAAAGGCACTTTATTAGTAGTAAGATGTATTGAACAATATTTCTTTTCTTCGCCATGAAAAAAATCATAAGCATTGAATTACCTTCAGATAAAGTTCAAAGATGATTTATTATATACCATAAGGAAAAACAGTAACGTTAGTAAAAAGTATTATTTTTTTGTTTGTATTGTCATACATGTACTAATCGTACTTGATAGAAACAAGGAGAATAGGAATGAAGCAGAAATTAGTTGTTTTTTATGTGAAATAAATGGCCTTTCAGTTTTTATTCTACTAGTAATATTAGAAGATATTTAAAATGAAAATGAACAAAAATTCACTTAAATGAAATTGATGGCCTTACAATTTTGCTCCTCTCTTGTTGGGATGTTTAAATGAAAATAGCTTTTGATTTTTTGTTCTTCTTGCTCGGATTTTATAGGAAAACAAGACATGGTTTAAACCTCTATTACCGCAATACCGTCTTCTGTATTATAATTTTGAGAGAAAAAACCTCCAATCAAAATTTGTTGTACCTAACCCTTACAGAAAGCAAGGGCCTCAGGTCAACCCTTCATTAGCATTTGTATGCCAGCGTATCTCGCTCCATTCTCTACTCTAGAATTTTCGAAGGATTCAACACAAGAAGAGGGCATCAACACAATAAACATAATCAAATGCTTTTTTCTTGCCCCAATCGTCATCCTCTGAAACCACCTGTTCCTCATCTCCCTCTCTTTCTCCCTCTCTCTCTCTCTCTCTCTCTCTCTCTCTCTCTCTCTTTCTCTCTCTCTTTCCTTCGCATCCCTGTTCTCTCTCTTTCTCTCTCTCCCTCTCTCTCTTTCGTTCGTATCCCTGGTCTCTCTATCTACCTGTCTCCTCTTCCCCATTTTCTCTCTACCTCTCTTCTCCTCCACATCTTCAATCTTCCTCCCTCCTTTTTTCTCTTTTTCTCTTCCTCTTTCTCTTCCTCCATCTCCCTTCTTATTTTCTCTCTCTTTCCCTCTATGTATCTTTCTCCTCTACATCCCCATTTTCTCTCTACCACTCTCTTCTCCGCAGCATCCTTTGTCTTTATCTCTCCCTCTTTCTCTCTCTCCCTTCCTCCCTCTTTTTCTCTGTCTCTCCATCATTCTCTTCCACATCTCCAATTTCTTGATACCTCTCTTTCTCTCTCTCTCTCTCTCTCTCTCTCTCTCTCTCTCTGTCTTTGCCTCTGTCACGAAGCAAACGCTATTATCCGGCCGTTGAGGGCCGCTACAAAGACACAGAGAGAGAAAGAGTCATAGTAGTTTAGGCAGCTGTAGCACCGAGTACACTCGGCTAACGAGTTTGGAATGCCATTATTACTATCTGCATCACCACGCACAGTGGATCAGCATCAAGCTATAGATCGCGAGTGAGTAGAGGCTCATACACTTGTTGGATTATTGCACGTTGTACGTCGTCTTCAGTGCTCCGGGAAGGGATACTGTATGGGTGTATTTGGGTGATGGGAGGTTGCTCGAGGAAGAGCGACCTGTTGCCAGGATGCATGTATTTGTAAACGTTTCCTCGGCGCTCCTGTGTCCTAGGCGGAAGGTATAGTGTACTTTATATCTCTTTCAATCTTTTTTTTATCTTCATAGGTTGCGTTTTTTCTTTTCTTTTCCTTTTTTTTTTGAAATGTACTTTTGTCTAATTTCATTTCAATAACCATCCCTGTAGTCTCACTAAAAAGATGAATTTCAAGACATTGACATTAAGATTCATTGATGTCCATATCTTGTCAGGTAAAACTCTTTTCACTCCTTCAAGCATCAAACAGGAGGAAAAGATGACATCTTTTAATTTAAAAAAAAAATCCCATTAGGTTTACTTGGTTGAACAAATTCACAAAATATTTACAAAAGTATTGAAATGTTTTCAAATTAACCTGTAGTTTTGTAAGCTTCTACCAACCTTAAATTTGTTATGCAAGCTTTTGTTTTCAAATTGTTTCATATTTTAACTCTGTAGATATAATTTCATTTAGAATTTTGTCAATCTTGCAAACTTTTCCTCTGTGATTTTATTATAGACAGGGCAGGGGCCTGTCTTGGTTGATATTAATCGCAACTTATTTGCGATTGATATGGATCATCAGTCGCAACTCTTTATGAAAGATGGGGCCCTTGTACTGGTTGGTGGTAAAGATAGTGTATTTTTCCCTTTTTCTTGCAAAGAGGAATAGAAGACAAAAATAGATAATGTCTGATCGATTTCCCTGGGCCCTCGGATGCAGCTGTTGTCTTTGGTACAATTCCCATGTAATCTGGATTTTTAAAATTATTATTTTTATTACTTTTTTCTTTTTTTCTTGAATTGATACCTGCTGTTGTTCATTTTCTCCTTTTTAAGCTACAGTTTTAAGAAACCTCCCCCCCCCCCCCCCCCAAAAAAAAAAAAAAAAAAACATATAAAAAACCATCTTTATTATTTCTTCTTTTTTCTTTATGCATATATGAACAGGAAACAGTTAGGTTGCATACTTTTCATTTATATTTCATCAATGTGCATTAATACCCATGAAGTGGTAGTAGTAGCAGTAGCAGTAGTTGTAGGAGGAAGAAGAGTAGTCCAATAAAGTTTTACTATAACTTTCTTTTTTAAATATATGCACTACAGCTTTTCATGATGACATTGACCGTAATAAAGTCATATTGAACTCTTTTCATGTCTTTAAAGACATCTGGAGAAGCATTATTGCAAACCTTTCTTTTAATGACCCATACCCAATCCAAATCCCTTTCTATATTATCCTTTCCCTTCCGTTATCATATTTGTTGGATAATAATGCACCATCCAGCGATGCGAGCCTTATTGATTTATATTCAATCAATCATGCACATGTGGGGTATGCATGCCCAAGTCAATTACATGTAGATTTCATTCCCGGGGACTCATGTAATTTCTTCCATTGATTCCTCATTATCTCCGCTCTTCGTAAAATAAAAATGTCCGCTCCTTTAGCCGAGGTATTATGCCCGGCCGCCCCATGGTCGCCGAAGTGATGGAAGAGCGGACACGGGCCTTTTGTGGCGTCGCGGCGTGAAGGCCTCGGAGTTGTTATGAACTCTATTTTGCAGGTGTTACTGTGTGTTTCATTGATGGGTAGAGAAAGAAAATGTGGAGGCCAATTTAAAGGTGCCTCATCTAATTTACAAATTAACATAAGGAATTTTATAAGCATGATGGTAAAAAGCAGAAAATATGGTTTTAAAAAACCCTCCTTATACCTCTTTTGGATCGTGAGATTAAAGGTCAGTCCCCAAATTTAAATAATCATATATTCGATTGATACAAGTCTGTAAAAAAAACAATTTCACACACACACACAGGACCTGGAAACTGACTTTTCATGGAATCATTGATGGCTAGATTTTGAATGGAATTTTAGACAGGCCACCAAATATGATTTATCTATTGTGCAGCCTTATTTAGTGAACAGTTATTTTTATGTCTAATATATTTTAACGCATGAGAGGAATATATGTCATGTATAAACAATATATTAGGCTTGTACACACAGGATTGATATCATATGCAGTATTAGATGAATGTGTACTACCATCAGAGTGAGGTGCATATGGTTGTGTAAAAAATCTCATACACAATATGATGCTCACCTGGTGAGAGGCCCCTGGCAAAATGATGTAGACCTATATCAAGACAATGCCCAAACTACCATTTTACTGTGGTTCTCTGTATGGTACAATGTATTGCTCGGTGACGATTCGTCATGCCGCTGAAAGATTGTCTTAGTAATGCGTGCATGCCGCAAAGCAAATTTATGATAACTCTGTACAACATTTTTGTAAACATGACTGGAATTTCTCTCTTTATCTACTGATAAACTAAAGAAAATGGGTTGTAACTACGCAATTGTACTGCAAAATACTTTCTGCTTGACGTGATAGTACGCGTCCACGTTAAGCAGAATGACATAATGTGCTTACGCCACTCTGCCCACCACAATTTAATAAACATCATTTCATTTCTCATCATATAGCTGTAGAGTTATCACACACAAAAGAACAGTTTTTCCTTATCTCTGTCTCTTTCTTTCCTCATTATCACATTCTCTTCACCCTACCCTCAACTGCATCTAACAAAGGAGAAAACTCATGCCATGTGAGGCTGAAATCACATGTATAGGCGGCGGAAGACAGGAGATCTATGAGATTATCCTTTTTGTAAATGAAGGAGATTTGTGATGACAGTTCCCATTTATCCGAGCTAATACGCAGATAATAGAAGGGTGGAGCATAAATTTCACTAACCTACTTAAAAGGTGGTTTTAAAGACTTTAATTGATGAACAAAGTCTATACAATTTTCAAACATAGTAGCCTTCATAGTGAAGAAGAACAAAATAATCTCCTTAATCCAGTTTTTTGTATTTTTTGTTTACATTTTAGTTTTGTCAATGCTATATCCCTGTATTTTATTTTAATCTCTGACTTTGTCTGTTTTATTCATTGCCTTAAGCCGTCATCTATATCTATCAGCCTTATTTCTCTTTCTTTTTAATCTTTTTTTTATTGTTGTTTTTGAACACTTTTCATCTCTCATGCTTGTTAATTCCATATCCCATTGTCCTCTATCCCTTATTTTATTTTTCTCAGCGTATTTTCATGCCCTTAGCAAGTTGAACTCAAAGCAATTTTCTAGGACATCCCATATGTAACATTTGCAACAACTCTGCAGACAAGCAGGTCGAGTAGTGTCACAATATCCCTTCCAATTTTTTTCCTTTTCAAAGTTTTAAATGTAATTCCATCTTTTCTCACATTACATGTTTATCATTCCATTGCCGTGTTATTACCACTGTGTCTGTTGTATTTCTTTTTGCATTTTTTTCTTCTTCTTTTCGTTGTCATCTTTTTAGTGTAGAATATTTGTATTAGTATTTGTCTGTACACAGCCATAAGGGCATTCAATTTGTGTTAAAATATATGAGTGAGTCAGAATCCAATTAGACAAATTATAGTTCTGTCTGTCTCCGTAAGGGTTGAGCTTTTGCTCCAAGCATGTCGATAAAATGACAGCAACTTGTGTTTTAATCTAAAATTAAATTCATATTCAGGAAAATATGGAATTAAGAGGTATTGAATTTGTTAATTGTAAGTGACTGGCGCCCAGTGGTGTGAAATATTTTCTTCCTTCTCTTTAATCAAATTCAGTATGTTTGCATCATGTGAAGATACAAAGATATATAATATGCCCAGACAGGGAAATAAAGATCATGGTCACAGAAATGGTGATAAACATGCAATTTGGAGACAAAGCAATACAAAGTGCTTTTTAAATCAAATCTGGATGTCTTGTATTTTGGCACGTAATTTCAGACGATTCAAGGCATTGTTTGATTGTCAGATTATGGGCATTTTTTGTTTTTGTGCCTGGAAGGGGTTTCAGTTACACTAATCTTTCTATCGATGTCCAACGTCGCCTTTGGAAATAGGACATCAAAGTGACATTAGTATTAAAGAGAGAGAATGGAAAGAATTCCCTGAGAGGCAATTTTCAGTAAAAGTCTTAAAGACGATGGTACCTGCAGAGCTTTAAAGCCCCACTGCACTACTTATAGCCACCTGCGCCCTCTATATAGCAAACAATGCCTAATCGGTGACTATTAGTCCCCCATAATCGCCTTTTTCTTATCTTAATTGAGAGCTGATTTGATGAGATAGCCACCTGTTAGTGACCAGGCTGGGTGTTCTAATCCCCCTGGCCAAACTAGTGCAGACAGGCTTTAATGAAACCTACATTTAGGCAGCCATCTTGGCTCCATCAAAGATAGCACACAAAAATATCAGTAATTTTCCACAAAACCCTTTTAAAGACGTGGAAATATTCGATCTGATTGGTGTCTTTTGTGTCTATGTTTGCGTATACCATTAGGGTTGGCAGGCTCGAGTCTTTGTCTTCCGCTCTTAAACGGGAATTACTTACGTAACTAAATCCTCTCCCATTCTTAGAGGTTAGCTTAATGGGAGAGTAACCGCTAGCTTGAGGGGTGCGATGGACTAATTAGTCGAGGGAATTGGAGAGGAATCCAGGGACGAGTAGGAAAATGCTTGAGCTGAGAGGCTTTTAATATAATGTCCACCATTATCTGGAGGAGATCATTCAATATCCATTCACTCAATTAGTATTTTCTTGGAAAACAGGGATCCAACTTAATTATCATTACATACTTATCAATTCTTTCATTTAAGTATGTTATGTAATCTTTTCTTTGTCTTTTTTTCTTTTATGTACTATTTGAATTAATTTCTATGTGTACATTTCAGATGGAGGTGATAACTATGTTATTGTCTGTTTGGAGCCAGAAGGGCACTAACTCTTTGTAAAGTGATACGAGTAAACACCCTTCTAGTTCCAAGCAGATGATATATAGGAGTAGTTACTGTATTCTAGTAAATGTTGTCACTTTTATTAGTCAGTTTTTGAGCAGGGAGGAAGAGAGCGTAACAATATCCATGTGTCTTTTTGATGCAATAAAGCCCTTAGCGATTGTTGCTGAAGTAAATCTCAAGACACCTGTGTAACTAGTCT